CAATGGATTCTCTACCTCGAATGCATATATACTTCACTTAATTATAAAGTCTTACTGTGATGTGTAACTAGATCTTCTTTGACAATGATTATCAATTTCATTAAAAATATTTTGTGGAGTGCGCATGAAATGAGAGATAAGATTTAGGGTCCAAATGAACGAAATTGATTTATAGAATTGACTTTGAAGACTTTATATACAGAGTTTCTAAAACTTGGATAACTGATCAATTGTGAACTTTTGGAAAGAGTTCAATGAATCCCAATTAATGCACCGGAAAAAAAAAAGAAATTTTCATAATTTAAATGATTCTACCAAAGCGTATTGATGGGGTGGTCTTCACTGTCTTATCTTATTATTGGAATGGTTCTGAAGGGAGAGCTTTCCATTTAGGCGAATGTTACATTACCTGACTGAAATGAAATTCTAGACCTAATGGCCCCATTTATCTCAAGTTTCAAGAAAAGGAGTAGATTATCTTGAGTATAACGAAACTTCTGATGGTTATGAATTGTTTGGTAGCACATTTTCGGGCTAAAAGGGTCAACCTCATGCTCACAGAAAATAGCAGAACTCAAATGGCCCTCAGATTTAAAGCTCAGTAAGTGAAGACCAGGATAAATTGCATTGGCTGGCATAAAACTGTCAAACTTCTGGGATCAATCAAAGACTTTGGTGCTAGCCAGATGGGAATATAGAGACTTCGATGAAGACCTGGATAAATGCTTTGTCATTCAAGACCAAGACAAAATGGCAAATTTGTTCATGAGAAAAATGAGGGAAGTAATTTGGAAGAAGGAAACTCAACAATGGCCATTCTTGGATAAGATTGGTCCGGGACAGGAAGCGCGAAATAAGGAGCAGAAGCAATAACTAGAAGAAAAAGAAGACGGCGAGAGGGAGAGAAACAGAGGGAAAAAAAAAAAACAAAAACAAAAAGGATGGAGCGAACCTCGCAACGGATCTTCTGTGTTATTCTCTGTCCCATTTTTTATTATATTGCTATTTCTCCTATATAACATCACGTTTTAATTTTTTTTTGTTTCCTTAAAATCCAATAAATATTAATTGAGTAATACACAAAATTTAACAAACTCAAAAAATCAAAATACATAAAAAATGAGATTTTTTTATGAATTTTTTGCTGTATTTTTTAATTTTCTATTATATATTGCTTTTTTGAAGCTACTGTATTTATTTTTTACTCAATTAATAGTTATTGAATTTTAAGAAAGCAAAAAAAAAACTAAAACGTGATGTTTATGTAGGAGAAATATCACAGGATGTGGGTGAACCTACCCTGCTTCTTATAGATTTTTTCCTTTTAGTTTGCACATGGACCAGTTGTTAACCAAGTCAATGGCTAAGGATAAGGGTTTGAACCAACTTAATAAATTTGATTTTTCTTTAACCGATTGAAGTTTAACATGTTCTTACGAAACTGAATTCAAGTGTTTTGAACATATAAGTTTCACAGTACTATGCTCTGCTGTCTGTCGGGTTGAATTCAAGCTGTACTCGAAAACTTCAATGACAACTAATGTTTGTTGACGTGTAATTTGATTAGTTGATGATAAATTAAATTCAATCGAAATCTTATAGAACCAACATCAAATCGAATGCAACTAATCTAGTAGTTTCTCTTTCATTTCATGCATGAGTAAGAAAATCGACCAATATCAGCTATATACTTTTCTTTCTCATATTATTGTACCAAATTTAGTTTTGGCCTTCCACAACTTATTAACGTGAGATGAGATAGGTTGTGCAGGCGGACAAGTAACGGGGCAGCCCAACTTGAGTTCAGCCCTTCAGGCCTCCTAAAGGTGCCCAAGCTTCTTCACCTATGAGCTAATCACACATGCCTGTGCCGTCAATATAATGCAGAAGCCACACATCATTTCAGGTTTTCCTAATATCACGTACTTCCAAGTTATGCCCAGAATTTTCTTTCTTAACTTGTTAGTCATTCATCCATCAAAATCTCTAGCTAAGGAAATTCACTTGTAAATTGTTACTACCAATTTCTTCAAGTTGTAACATCTGGTGGATGCGTACGAATACGAAAAGCTCTATGCATAGAAAGTTTAAACAAGAAAGGCAAATTGGAAACCAACTCTTAGCAGCCACCGTGCACACAACTATACACAGACATGGACAAAGAAGTAGATTTATGCATCCAGCTGATGGAACATCTCTGGCATTTGCTGCAGGAACACAGAGTTCTCCTTGGATAACGAAATTTCATGCGCAAATGTCAAGTGCCTGGAACCTATTGGACCGTCCAAAATTCATTCATGAACATTTAATAACGAAACTCCGACTTGAGTTTCTACTGTTATATGTTTGCAGTCTATCTGTCCCTTTTTTTCTTTTCCAACTTACATATTGTTATCCAATTTAGAGGGGCTGAAACCAAGCAAGTGAGAATCTTATCCACTGATGATATGCAAGAGAGAATCTCACACTCGAGTGTTTCAAGTTCACTTATTTTTTTCCCAAACAAGTCTACCATTATCTCTCAATGCTAACAAGTGCGTATTCCACAAACTTTTTCTTCGTAGATTTAAAAGCTAGCTAGAGGATAAATAGGTGTTGACATCAGCAGTATTTTCCATCATGCAGTTGATCTTTATTCTTGTCCATCTATCTAGAGGCTCATTGACCTGCCTGCTCTGTGCCAGTCAAGTACAGAATATTGTTAATTACTAGCTATTATCTTTGGATTGAAACTAAAGATACTACAGTCTAATAGCTTTCAACTAGCATGCTACCTCCATTGCTCCATTACTAGCATCTTCAGGTATCATCTGTATAGCTAGCTTCTGTTCTCCGTATCTTGATGTTGTTTGAAAATTAGAAACCCTAGCAGTTGCTTTTTTTTTTTTTTTTTTTTTTTTTTTTTGTTTCTGGAAAGAAAATCGTGACATGTTTGATGGGAAAGAAGGAACAAACATATACATCTGATTTGAAAGAAGGCAGCATATATTTCTTGCCCGTACGTACCTAAAATATTCTAGACAGTGGTCCAAGACATATCTATGACAAAACTATAGTGACAAATTCTTCTTCTGGGAAATTGCCTTCAAAGGCAGCCAAAATCAAGAACGAAAATGGTCCTGAGAGATGAAACATTTCAAGCCGTCAAATCAATCTTTCATGCATGCATGCAGCTATAAACCTTATCCCTAGTACGCGGAATGCAGATTCAATGTTGTTATTCAAAAAAAATGTTGTTATCCTTGTGATTGCAACTTGGAAGTCGCATGCAACATGAATAGAGTTGGCGGGAAATCAATTTTTATCGTAAAAGAAGAATGACCAAACAAGCATGTCAATTTTGATTGATAATGATACAGGTTTAGAGAGATATCAAAAAGATTTTGTTTTTCGAAAAGAACAAAGTTCCGTGCTTTCGTACTTTGGTCTTCTTTTTTTATGTTAACTAACGGAAAAACAGTTGGATACCACAAAGAAAAATTCAAAAACAACAAAGGTGAAAGGTGACAGTCTTCTAGTTGAGCCAATTTTTCAGTCCTTTCAGCGCACTGGTCTTTTTCCTTTCTTGCTTTTCTCTTCTGATCTTTTTGGTTTTTTGGGACGTGGTAACATTTTACCACAAATCCCTGAGGACTTAGGGGTGGTAATCTTATACTTAGCTTTGTTTCTTTTGGTCGATTCTGCCTTTTACCCAGTTTAACAATGTCTCCTTTTACACAAAATTCAATGTGAGAATCTGTTAGTTTTGCACTTTACATCTTTCATTTTCGGTCGACAAATATTTTGTACTTTAGTTGCAACTTGCAATTTCGCAGGGTGTAAGATGATTCAACCTTTAACAAAATTTTTAAGCGTTATTTTTTGAACATGCGTCATGGATTTATTATCTAAGATAAACTTTAGGTACTGTTAGTAGAAATAAATCATACTCATTTGGCAGATTCATCACTACCTAATGTTTTTTTCTCTTTTTTTTTTTTTTAGGGATCAAAAGGAATGCCTTAAACACAGCTAAAATTCGCTAATATGACCAACATCTAATTATATGCTCCTAAGAGAGATTTGATAACATCAAAAGGATCTGAAAAGAGTGCAACTCCAACTAGAAATTAAGAATAGTCTTTGCAAGAATATCTGCACACATGTTACCTTTGTGCCAAAGCGTTTTAATGGCATTCCCAATCTTGATACATTTACTCTCTAACTTTCCCTGCCAAATCGAAATGACTATATGATCCTTGTCAACATCTCTCTCTCTCTCTCTCTCTCTATATATATATATATATATATATATAAAGTTCGTGTATATTCGACTCCAATCATAATCACAGATTAAGGCATGCTTCCGAGACTATAGGTTACTTATGGGAGGTCATTTACAAGATTTTCACAGATCATGTATCAATACAGCTCTCACATTAGCAGTGATATTTAAACATGTAACCTTTTATAAGAAAGTGGCTCATCTTTACCAATTGAGCCTACTTTTTTTTTTTAATAAGTGAAATGTTTTGAATACAAGATTTTTTACTTATAATTCCTTTCACCTTAATACCTAATTCAACCCTCTCATAACTGAATTAACTTGTGTTGGCACTAGCCAAGATTCTGAATGAGATGAATTCCAAGCAAGCAAAGAGTGAGATTCCGCTTCCACTTGCCTAAATGTCTAAATTCCGTATCCCAACTGTCTAGACTGGTTGGAACTAGCCTGTAAACATAGAGGACCAATTCTCTTCTTGGGCGAGATGGAGGCCCAGATTGAAATGAATCACTCAAACACACTTTACTAAGTTGGGCAAACAACTTTAAAAGCCCAAGTCAAATATAGAAATGGACGCAAATACACCTAAAGCCATGATAGTATGAGCCCAAGGTGCTTAAAAACCAGTTTTCTTAATTCTTGTCAAGCCCATCTCCAGCCCCAGAAAAAACATCAAAGCCCAAATCACTTCCTTAAACCTTATCTCCAATTCATTTTCTCCCTTTTCATCAAAATTTCAAACTTTCCTTTACTTTCAGCAGTTCACTGTTCTGAAACCCTGAACCCTGATTCCCCCTAAATTGAATTCCTACTAAAACAATGAAAGAAATGTCTTTTTGATTAAACCCAAACAAAAAAAAAAAAACACATTTCATCAATGGCAATTTCTACTGCTTTCGGATATTCTTGTCGCCCTTATATCTCCCTCCGCTGTCCTCTCCGCCTTTGCCTTCATCAAGTAGTATATATATGTATTTTTTCATTTATTTATTTAATAATTGTTTTTATCTTTAATTATTGCTAAAGTTTTTCTTGTTCCCTCTTTTTTTTTTTTTTTTTTGAATTTCTGTAGGTACGTTTGAGCTGTGCAGCAGCAATGGAGACAATTGATGAGGCAGAAAACCAGAGAAGTAATTTTTTAAACTTTTCTTCTTTTTTTTTAATTCTCAATGATGGTTATGTATGATTAGTTTTTTGTTTTTTTTGTTTTCATTGGTGGGTTTTTGTTCTTTGTGAAGTTTTATTTTGTCTTTTTCCCCCCTGTTTTTGTGTTGGGTTGGTGGAAATGAAGATAGTGAAAGGATTGGTGGAGATGGTCAGAAGGCATCCCAATGGAAAAAGTTGAATTCTGCGGACCTCGGAATTCGTAGTTCGATGATTCCAAGGACAACGAGGGCGGTTCTTAATGGTCTCAAAAGAAAAGGTGCGACTATTTTGTGCGTATAACTGAAATGGGCTTTGTATTGTATTGGGAATTTATAGTTCAAGTGTTAGAATGAATTCAAATGCACATTGCTAGCTCAGAAATTTGATCTTGACAACTTTTGCTGGGGTAAAAAAGTTCAAGTGTGATTCACTATTGCTATGTAGATGAAAGAATCTGACAACTTGTTCAGCTTTTAGGATCATCAACTGACACTACACTAGATGATAATTGTGGAAATTGTTTGGAAATTGTTTTGTCAAAATATTTATAAAAAAAAACGCGCACACACACGGAGAGAGAGAGAGAGAGAGGAATTACAATTGAATGTCATAATTTTTTTTTATTTTTGAGGGGGTGAGGGTGGACAGGGGGTGATTATAGAGTTTTAGGTTTCATCAGTTTATTTGTGTTGTTTCGACATTTGATATCATGAATAGAGCACTCCGTTTCCTGGTATTTTATTTGTTTTTTTTTTCTTTGTCTGCATATGTGTGTGGTGATGTATCATTTGATAAAAGCACACACGTTCTCCAGTACTGTTCTAGTTTTCCTAAGGAAATCCTCCTAACATTTATTGTAGGATTTGAAGTTTACCTCGTGGGAGGTTGTGTAAGGGATCTTATATTGAGAAAAACTCCAAAGGATTTCGATATCATTACTTCAGCTGAACTTAAAGAGGTTAGTCTTGACTTCTCTCTTCCTTGTATCATGTTAGACAAGGAGTATTTCTTTGCTAACGGCCATTTTTTCTGTGATTAATACCAATGGGCTTTTCAAACTTTGTATATTCTATATCAGGAAGTGGACTTTCAAAAACAAGTTTAGCTCAATAAGAATGGCTTGATTTCCTGTAGGGCATCACTCTCTTGATCTTGGATTTTCATTTCCTCTGGTTTTCATTCTGTTCATGACCATTCAGCTTATTTTCTAGTGGGCTTTTAATAGTCGGTCTTGCCTTAGCCAAGGTACCAGAAGGCTGATAAGTTGACCCCCAGACTCTTATGGATATAATGTGGATTTGGTGATGTGCCAGGAAAATTTTGTATTTACCTCTTACAGCATAATGTCAGAAATAAAAATGTTATTGGGTACCATCTCAAATTTAAATGCAATTCTCATGCTTTGATTATCTGAAATAATATCTGCTTCTCAAAAATGGAGAGTACCATTTACTTGCTTTACAATTTACACATATGCAAAAGTTGCATTGGTTCTGAAAGTTTTCTGGGTCATATGTTGGTGATTTGTCATTGTTTAGTACGGCTTATTCTTTCTCTTGGAAAACCATGAGTAGTCAAACTAGACAATAGCTGTGCAATGAAAGAGTAGGCTATATGTTGAACTGCTAATATTTCCAAGCCTTGTGGAAGTTTTGAGGATCTATTTGTAGGTCCTCACTGAATTTAAAAATACTGCATTCATAACATAAAGAATAAGTTTTGCCAATATAGCTCCCTCTATGCACTTATTTGTCAATACAGTAACAAAAATTTGCACTGTGATAATAGCCTTCATTTTGCAGGTGATGAGAACATTTTCACGATGTGAAATAATTGGGAAACGTTTTCCTATCTGCCATGTTCATATTGGTGACAATATTGTAGAGGTTTGACAATTTGGTTTTTTATTAGAAGCGACAAAGTATATCAGCTATTTATGTATCATTTATACTTTTTCAATAAAAGTTCTTGATATAATTCAGATTAATTTCAATAAAACAGGTTTCAAGCTTTAGCACTTGTGGAAGAAATTCTAGAAGGGACTTCAGTTTGGTTTTTGAAAAGCCTGTCGGATGTAACGAGAAAGACTACATTCGCTGGAGAAATTGCTTGAAAAGAGACTTCACAATAAACGGGTTTTGGATTTGACCATTACTTTCTGAAATATAAGTATAAATTTTGTCAGAAGAATCACCCCGCCACCCCCCTGCAGTTTTTCTTTTTGGGGTAGGCTGAGGGTACTGAGGACTTTTCAAATTTGCTACTTTACTTCCATTTTATATCTAAAACCCCCTTCTTCTCCTTTTTCATTTTTGCAGATTGATGTTTGACCCTTATGCAAAGTTGATATATGACTATATTGGAGGAGTGGAAGACATTAGGAAAGCTAAAGTGTGCATGTATCTCTGAGGAGTTTCATTTTTCTCATCACTAACTTTCACCCTTACACAGTGATCTAACATCAATTTTTTTTGTAGGTGCGAACTATCATTCCTGCTAGTTTTTCTCTGACTGAAGATTGTGGTAAGTATCTCTATAATCATATTGTGAATTTCTGAATTTGCACATTGGAACTCAACACGTTAGTCTTTGCCTCAGCATCATTTCTGCCTCACTTTTTTTTCCTTTTATTGGTTGTAATTTCTGCTTACGTTTGCAGCTCGCATTCTCCGTGCTATTAGAATTGGTGCACGTTTACAATTTCGATTTGCAAAGGACACGGCTCTTTCTGTTAAAAAGTTGACTTCTTCAATTCTAAGGCTGGACAGGGTATTGGGAATGTGTTTTTGGCATGTTATTTGTTTCTCTAATTTTTTTTTTTCACTTCGAAATGTATTATGACTTCTTTCTTAATTCCAATTTTTCCTAGGGAAGGCTCCTTATGGAGATGAACTACATGTTAGCTTATGGTTCTGCAGAATCATCGTTAAGGTTATTATGGAGATTCGGCCTTTTGGAAATTCTTTTACCAATACAGGTATAAATTTGAAGTTGCCAACATTTTAGGTGTATCCATGGGAAGCATATTTCTAAAGCAGCTTCAAAATGCAGGCAGCCTATTTTGTCGATAGTGGATTCCGTAGACGCGACAAGAGGTCCAACATGCTTTTGGTACTTTTTTCTTTTAGAAATTTTTAGGATCTTCTTTAACATTTACAAATTGTTTTACCATTTGTTTCTTGCTCTTTCTAAATAGTATCATTCTCGATGCAAGCTTATTTTGTGGGTGAGGTTTTCAAACCTTATAACTCAGATGGATTTTGTCAATTTTTAAGTTGCTTAGGAATTGAAACTACCTGCTGCCTGATAGAGTTAGAATGAAGACTCAAGGGAACTTGAAGTTTTAATGCCTTTACATAGATTCAATGCGGCTTGTTATCTTTTCATTTGACAACATATAGTCCCTTTTTCTAGTGTCGCAGTTTTAGAAGTTAATAGCCCATTTGGTACATTGGAATACTGTGGAAAGGCCATCTCCAACTTTTTATCCCTGTGTTGGATTTGACCTGCAGACTTGGCAACACCAATTCCTTGAAAATGCCCTTTCGAACTATATTTTTCAATTTTGATTTTGTACAAAGGCTAATGAAAACATTTCCTGGGTTCTTTGGAAAGAAAAATTGGCACGCGCTCATTTCTTGAGTAGTTACAGACTACAAGAAAATATTATACTCGTTCCTTTTGACTTCTTTGTTGAGCACTTTTTGATTTTGATGAACACTATAATTATTTTAGACTTATATATATTTTGTCACTCTTTGCAGTATGCAAAAAAGGAGTTTTTTTTAACTATATCAAATATAATATGCCTGTTGCTAGATGCCTAATTGCAGTGTAGTATAAATGTCTGATAATTTTTGTTGATGTTGACAACCCTTTCGGCTGGAAAAATGATTGACTGCATGATTCCAATATTTTATATCATATGATATAGCAATACACTATGCAATAGAAACAAAGTAAACGATGGCCCACCTTCTAGTTTTAGCTATTCCCACTTCTGTGTCTGTCGCTTGGGTATGTCGTGATTTTCGGTTGCTTTTTGTTCCTGAATTCATTTACATATGGATACATGTATGTGACTTTTTTGTGTGGATTTTCTTGCAGTCTATATTTTCCAGCCTGGATAAATGTTTGGCACCAGACAGGCCTTGTCACAGTAGTTTATGGTAAGGTTTTTATTAAGCGCTTTAGCTGAGTTATTGCATTCTATGGTAGCAAATGATAATTTTAATGTTATTAGCTTTTATACAAATAGAAAATATTATTGTGGTTTAGTATAACGTGTATGATAAATAATTAATTTAATTATCAATCTAAAACATGAGCTGCTGGTAAAGAGATGCCTTTTCACATTCGGTTTGCTGTTGACAAACCCAACCTTCAAGAATCTTCAGTAAAAGAGCATCAAATAGTTAATGGACTAAAACTGTCTAATTTGCATAATATAGGAGCCAATTGGGGTGAAATCAAACCTGTGTGGACTAAACTGCAGATTTCCTGCGAGGGCTCATTTTTTCAAATTAGTTTTTATTTGGATAAAAGAAGTTCTCTCTGTTTCTTTTCCTTTCATGCCATCGTTTCAAATTCTTAGAATTTTTATACAGCTGGTGTATGAGAGTGCAGATCATGTTGTCTTGCTTTACTAGATAGATGTCTTATGAGTGTCGGCGGAAAAGTACCTGGTAGAAAATGTTATGTTAATGGAAGGTGTAGTGGTGGAGGGAGGAATGCATTAAAAGGCTTAGGATCTTGTTACTTGACCTGCAATGAGCTCTTATGAAATCTTTGTGTTCCAGGGTTGCATTATTAGTATTCCACAGAGCACTGTTTGATCACCCAAGTGACCCTTCAGTAGTTGCCGCATTCTGCCTTGCTGTTAACAATGGGGGAGATTTGTCTGAAGCATCAGATATTGCAAAAAGGATCACAAGACGGCATGATACCAATTTCGTTGAATTATTAGAACCTCAGGATCTTGACTTCGATTCATTAGTAGCAGAAGTTAAGCATTTGGCTGCTTTAGTTCAGGACACGCTTGCTAATATGACCGACGAATACTCTGTTTCGCGGGCAATGGCTCAATATCCCAAGGCACCATATTCAGATATTGTAAGCAGTAAATCCTCGTTTTTCTCCCTCAAGCATATGATGTCTGTCTTCTTTGCTGAGTGGAAGCTTGTCTACGAGTTTCATGTGGGTTTGAATGGTGATTTGGGAGTCTTAGATGCTTCACTGAAGTCAATATTGTAAATCAATGTGTTTTTAAGTCTGCTCTGCACGGGCATGATCTGGTATTAGTCAAACTAGAGGCATGAGCTCCAATTGTTTGAGTTGGTGAGACCAATGCTGAAATATTTTTACTTTTCCCCTGCAGGTATTTATCCCATTAGCTCTATATCTAAAGGTGTGCAAGATTTTTGAATGTGTTCGAGCTGGAAAAGAGAGGGGATTTGTGCCAAAGCAAGGAAGCAAGATTCATCATGAGTTGTTGGCTTTGGGAAGCCTACAAGAAGTTCGTCATGTCTTCGCACGAGTTGTTTTTGATGCCTTGTACCCTATAGACCTCAAACAGTAGTAGTTGCATATTAGACGACAGAAAACCTAAAGATTGGTTTTGCTCTTATTCTCTCCCATAGCTGGAAAGGCAAAGTTTTGCCCCGAGGAATGAAAAAAAAAAAAAAAAAAACAATAGTGTAAACCCTTTTTACTAGGGGTGGCAATCAGGTCGGGTTCGGGTTGGCGGTCGGGTTGATGTCCAAGTATAATAGAAAACCCGTTGATCCGAATCTGACCTGTCAACCTGAAACGGGTTAGGATACTTGACACGAACCCGAAATTTGGTGGGTCGATCCGAAATGATTCGAAAATTAATTTTAATTTATTAATTTATCACTGTAATTTCTAATAAAATCAATTTCTGACAAAATTAATTACGTTATCAAGTAATAAAAATTTAAATAAATAATTTCAAATCAAATATAAAATAAATTAAACACTGTAAAAGTGTTTTATCCCAAACTAAATATAAAATAAATTAAACTAGCTTAAAAGTAAAAAATAATATAATATATTATTTGTCTAAATATAATAATTTCAACTTCACGCAAGTTAAATAAATTCATTTAGGATTAAGTAATTAATGATTTAATGCCTTTGAAAAAAAAAAGAATGATTTAGTTTAGTTAGATAAAATAATTTTTATGTGTATTAAATTATTTTTAATTCGTAAACGGGTTATATCGGGTCATATCAGATCATCACGGGTTGACCCGAAATCGACTTGTTTTTTTTTTCGGGTTCATTGGGTTCAACCCGAATCCCCGAAGCCTTAACCCAAACTCATTAATTTCGTATTAAGTTCGTATCGTGTTTTCGGGTCGTGTCAGAAATTGTCACCCCTACTTTTTACCTTATTATACTAGTAAGGCACATTTTATTTGTATAACAAAAGGTATAGTTATTTGTAAAAATTATTTTTATAACAATTGGTTCTACATTTGATGAATAATTTGTTAAAGAAGCTTTGAAAATGGGTAGATGGGTCGGGTCATGTTTTGATAGTTATCCATAAATGGTCCTCTAGTAAAACAGTTTAAAATATCTGATGATAAACCTAAAACAGAACACTTTTTATATGGTTGGATTACTGAACTCTTGTAAGGGTAACATAGAAGAAGCTTGCAGAATCACCTTTATGTAGTATTTTTTTTTTTGTTTACGTAACGGCACATTTAACCTAGTCTAGTTTATTTCTACTTCTGCTCGAGGAGTGGGGTAGGGTGGGGTGGAGCCTATTGTAGGGAGTGGTCCAACTGAGTCATGGGAACTTTTATGTAGTATGATTGAGGGGATGTTTTAAAAGTAGCAAATCCTAGACATCTCAAGAATGTTGAGACATTGAAAAACCCACAGTTGAGTTGGGGAGTTCTTGCATATGGTGTCGAGCAAAATTATACTACATCGAGGAATTCATTCTGTCGAATGTTAAGTCATTAGGCATTCCAAGGAGAAAATGAATGCAATGTCAAATCAAATCTATATAACTGATAGCAAACACTGAACTTTACTGCTTGTAAGTATAGCCTTCTGTTGTTTGGAGGGTGACTGAAGCTCGTCCTCAGGAAAAAAAGTTATAACTACAAAACTTATGAGAATGGCAACTAATATAATGAAAGGCCTTGAACAGATTTCACAGCCCACCAGGATCATATGCCATCCTCGAAGGTAACTTCGTCCTTTTAACTGATTTTGCTAAAAAGAATGACCTATCAAAAAATGATTGAAACAGAAAGCAAAGGAACTTATGATCATAAATTATCAGGTCATCCCTCAAGCTTTTGCTCGTGCGGGAGGAGCAGCACCACCAGTAGTTGGTCTGCAGGAGCAACAGCAACATTTCATGAAACGTATCATTATAAGAAAAAGAAATTAAATGCAACCACACGTGTTAAAGATTAATGAGAAGTACCAATGACTTGTGTATGGTTCTGCTGAAAATGGATGGATATACAGAAAGAGAAAATTAAGGGTGCAAGTGACTCCAGAAGCAAAAGTAGAGAACTTACAATCCAACAAAAACTTTGAAAGCATCATAGATTCCCCATTGTGCTCCAGTGAGGGTACCAATCATGACTATACGTAGAGGAAGGCCACGAGTAAACAAACCCCACAAGCCTAGGTTCTTTACAGCCTGCAGCAAATAAATTGTAGCAGAAATGATATAAGAAATTGCAGGGGAAGAATAACAATTTCGATTTAAGGATAGTGATAATCTTTACTTACATCACCCACGGTTGCCCCCTTGGCATTGTTGAGGAAAGAGACCAGGTTATCAGCAGGATGTGACACAATAGCGCAGAATATGCCAGCCACATAACCACCAGCAAAGCTAACTCCAAGCTGTAGGGATTTGCTACACTGCTCTTTAGGAGTTGGAATGGCATATTTGTACAAAGATTCCACTATGGTCTCAAAAGATGCAAACTTCATCATTGTGTCTGCAAAAGTACCATTCCAATTATTGCCAACCTTTCTTGGATATTTATATCAAGAACCAAACTTTGCCTGGGATATATCTAGTGACTATTTATGTAATGCAGGGCGAAATGCTTCTCAATACTCAAGCTCACAGAATAGGACTTAATGTTCTTACATAGATGTTAGAGTAGGAGTTCCATTATACTAAAAGATGTACACTTAATCTGTCATCAAAATCAAAGAATAAAGTTTGTATAGCAAATGGTGCAACCGCAATTTCAACACCCAAATTCTACAATGCAAGGAATGTACACATCGTATCATAATGTAGAGATTAAATAATGAATTTTTACTGGAAGCTCATATAATGCCATTTTCTCAGGATAAAATTTGATCATAAATTAAACAGAAACACATGATGCAGTTAATTTGTATGTCAATTGAGTCTCTCAATTTCAAGTCAAATTTGACCGTAACTTAAAAGGCAGGTTATCAGCGAGCTCATGTCTCTGCATGGGAACACATTTTTTGCAAATAAAGATGTTACAGAAGATAACTGTTTATGGCATGCACATGAAAGCCTCATGCTAAAAGCTAATTATACTTGTTACAGAAAAATATCAGCAAAATAGACTGGGAAGTATTCTTGTATTGGAAATAGCTTGCAGTTGTGAATGCTAAAAACCTTACTACAAGTTAAGACGCAGAGTAAAATGGATCATAGTTCATTAGAAAAAGTGAACTAAAGCTTTAAACTGGCAAAAGCATGCCCACGACAGAATAGGCAATGTCGAAGAATATCACTTCAAGATATAAAAATAATGAAAGAGTATAAACAAGGAAGCTTACATGGAATTTGTCGTCCCCATAGAGGAACAAGCCCCTTGTAAAGCCTGCAAAAAATAAATTATCTATGAGTAACATTATATGATCCATAAAAGAGGCCTTCAACTGTATCAGGAGAATGACAAACTGCATTAACTACTTGACATGGCAACGAAAACCTTACCCAAGTGGACCTTCAGCCTTGATAAACTTGGGAAGTCCATCTGATATGCCTCTGGCGAATCCAGGTTGAGTCTGGACACGAACCTTAACTGCTTCGAAGGGACAAAGGGCAACATCAGCAATGAATTCAGCAGATGCGGAGCCAGCAAGGTAGATCAAAGTTTTATACTTGGCTGCATACTCAGGACCGGCAATATCAGAGTAGTATTTCTTAAAGAATTCATAGAATCCAAACTTGCAAGCTCCCTGAGCGCTATAACCAAGCAGGGTTGGCACCCAACCCCTAAAAAAACCTCTTGCACCTTGCTCCTTGAGCAAGACACCGAAACCAGAAGTAATGCCCTTGTATTTTGCAGGGGCAATCTGAATACATAAGGATTATCAAGTTAATTCAATTACTACACCATTAGCTTAACAGAAGAACAATAAAGATTTAATTAATTGCATGATGTTTTATGGCTGAATCCTGGTGACATACCACCACTGTTTCTTCCAAAAAACAAACACTAATATACCTTCTTTTTATATATATATAATACTAAGATACCTAATGCATCTTACTACAAATTCAGACAATAAGTGGATTAAAGATTATGCCACACAAATTAGAAGCACAAAAGAGGCAAATGGCATGGCTTTAGAAGTACTCCTATAACAATGATTCACCTACATATTTGCACAACAATGAAATTTCTGTTTCAATATTTGCATCTAATCATTTTTTTCCAGCAGAGAAAACAACTGCTTCTGATCATGTACAAACGTAGAACTGAGAATGCAGTAACAAAGTAACGATAGCTATTACCTTAAGCAAAGGAAGGGAAAGGTAAATGAAGAAATCCCCAAAAGGCTCTTTTTTTTTTTTTGGTGCTCAAGATAGTTCAGTTCTTCTCTTACATTTTGGAATCATTGATAAAAAGCTAAATACAAGATAAATGTAAATATATCGCAAGTATATTTCTCACTTAATATAGTACAAAATAAAATGCATAAAATTCAATAACAATTACAATAAAGAACCAAGATCTAATAGTCTAAACTTACTGCTTAGTATAATTTCTCTACCAAATCTAATAAAATTCCTTATCTCGCATCTCTTTCACGGACACCCTTACTACATTGATTCCAAAGCAAAATAGAGCCTAACAGATAATCCGAAAAGGAGAATGAAAAAATAAAAATAAAACAGTGCATCGTCATGAATGAAGTGATTTACCTGCATATTACACTTGACCAGATCAAGAGGGGTGACAGCCATATGAGTTAGCCCACAACTAAAAATTCCTCCTGCAGTGCAAGCAGCATAATAAGCGGGCGAAAACATCTTAATCTTTCCAGTGGGCTCATTAGGCGCTGGAATCGCAAAATCTTTCTTCACAATCCCTTCATTCCGTGCTGATGATGAAACACTGGAGTGCGAAAATGAAGCACTAGACATCAGAAAAGGGCTCTCCGCATCAATCAATCCCCTTGACGACAACGAAGGAGGAGAATAAACAAAAGATGGGATCAAAGATGCCCTTTGAAACTTGTCTGAAACAGCCATTGCTAGTGAATGCAGTCAGCTCTGCAATCGAATAGTAGTACTGAAGCGTTATTCTTTCTTGAAACCAGTTTTTTGGCTTACTTTTTACTCTTTTTTTTTTTTGGGAAGTTTAAGGAAGTGGAGTGATTTGTGTAGATTTATTTGGTGATAGAATT